ATGTCTTTGGGTCAACTGGACAGTCTGAGGGACTCCGACGGACACCCTGGAGCACGTCTTTCCACACTTGCACATGGCGGCAAAAAGTTTCCGCTGTACCTACGCGCGGCCTTACCGATGGAGGTCTTGACAAGGCTTGAACCAAAGCCAGAAAATGTAATCAGAGGTTGACCATGGCGCTGCCGTTCGACTGGCTCAGTCCGAAACCTGACTTGCTCATTTTCACTCGGCAGGTGAATCCTGAGTTCGAATTGAGGCAGGCATCCGGCGTTATCACGGCCTGAGCTGCGGTAATCCCTCCCATCCTCCAGAAAAAACAAAGTTCTGTCATGCATGAGATAGCCCAAATTCTGTTCTTCGACCTGGTCTGAGACGGACACCCGAGAAGGCACCGCGAGCATGCTTAGCAAACATGCCCTCGTCACTCTGCTTAAAACAGAATCTGTACCACTTAGAAATGACTTAGGCAACGTTGTGCAGGCTTTCGTAGTGCTGTACAGTGCCACGTGCGCATACGTGTGCGGCTTTACATCAAGGTCCGGGATCTTCCCAACTGGAAGCTCCAAAACAGCTGCCCTTGCAGCTTGGCAGGGAACCTTCCTGACCTCAAGCCCTATGCCTTGCCGACCTGATTCGGTAGCGCGGGAGGCCTTCCCACTTTACGAGGAGAGCCCCGCCCACACAAAAGTCTCAGCTCACCTTGGCTTCTGCATGCACGCTCGAGAAACAGAGAAAGCATGAAACCCCGCGCTATTCAAGGGAGAGGCCTGCAGGTCTTAGCAAGGGTGGCATATAGTATGTCGTATGTGCCTCACAGACACGCTCACTCCTTGGCGCCGCAGCAGCAACAGCAGCAGAGGCCGATCAAGCAGGTCAGGAGGCCAGCAACGAGGAGCACTGCGCCTTATTGGCGTTCGTTGCCCAAAAACGATTCACTAAATGTACTTTCTAACTCACAATACAGCACGGGACAAGCCCTACATGGTGAGGTGCCTGCCGTTCACCGTGGGCATTGCAAACTGCCAGCAGCAAATCAAACAGAGTCTTTTACCTAGAGTGAGTTTTGAGGACCCCATGAGGCTGAGGTGCCACAAGCGATCATGATGATGGAGCGGCCCGCCACGGCGAAGACCTCTTCAAAGACCTCGCAAAGCTGCATGGACCACATGCTCTCGCTGCTGGTGATGGAGGCGTCGCCCTCTGCGGTGAAGCTGACCTGGGCGGCCAGCTTCAAGTCGGTGAGCTTTGTCTCGGAAGCTCCAATGGTCCAGTCAAGATCATTCAAGGTGCGCTGACCGCGCGACGGCGCACGGTGGACACCATCCTCGGGGAGCTCGCCGTCGCCGCAAATGTTGGTGTCCAGGGTGGCCACGGTGCTCACAAAAGTGGCTGAGCTTTGAAAAGCTGCGCAATCAACGTCCTTCTCAACGAAGATCAAATATGGGCACTGAACGTCGGCTGGGGCGGAAAGGGTGCCGGTCATCATGCCATCGATCCCCGCGCTCACGTTGATGCTCCTGCAGACAAGTTGTTCAAATGGGTACATACTTGTGGCTACGGGCACAGCAGACAAAAAAAAAGGCGCTAAGGACCACCAAACAAGTCGAGGTTCAGGCTGCTCAATCCCATTGCACCAACTAGCAGCAAGGCAATGCCCGCGATGGTAAGCAACAAGCCCACCTTACTTGCAAGCGCTCATTTCAGGGCTTTATATCTTCCAGGTGACTAAACTGGATGATCGAGGTATTCTGCTTAAACTAGCGACCTCGCCCCGTAATCAGAGCAGGCACAACATCCTTGAAGGATCTAAATTGGCCTACAACTCAAAGTAAGCAGTCAGAGGGGCTCCGACAGACACCCTGGAGCATGTCTTTCCACACTTGCACATGGCGACGAGCAATCGGAACCGTCTTTAAGCCAGGGAGTACTGGCCGCTCGCAATATGGCTTGAGCCTCGGAAGTTAGATGGCCAGCGAAGCATCTGCATGATTCTTCTGTGAAGTCGTCATGGTGTCTCATGCCACAAAAATTCAATAAGGGTAATATTGAGTATATATAGGGATAGGGAAAGTATAGTGGAAACCACTATATTTCACTATATCACATATCTTATAGGGGTTGTGCTGGGGATATATAGGGATAATAAAAACAAATGGAAACTACTATACTGTGCATGCTATAGGCAAGCTGGCTTTTGCATTCGGCTTTGTGGATGTGAGACAAATTAGCAACAGAAACTGGATGACCACCCGCGTAGTCCCCAAGCACTCATAATGTGGGGGTATAGAATGGGGTACAATAACGGGATTTTTATAGAGATAATGGAAAAGAAAATGGAAACTACTATATTATAGTAGGGTATATAAATATAGTGATCATGCCAGTGGCGCATGTGGCTGGCGCGACCTGCTTCGTGGCTTGCACACTCTGCTTTCAAGGGCCATCCTGGTCGTAGGGTCCCAGAAATTGCCACACAAACCCCCTGGACCCTCCATCTACCCTCTACATATATGCTACATCCCCATGTTAGGGACTATACTTACCGCAATTATGGTTGACTTGACGGCATAATTGTGTTCACTCCTGTGTGGCGAACTGAGGGAAGCCTCTGACTTTGCCTGGCTTGTAGTCTCGACGAGCTCAACAAAGAAGAGTGGAAGTCTGCATGCGGAATACAAGATTCCGCATCGCCCCTACTCTAGTAGCAAGGACAGCCACTGATTATTCGACTACATCCCCCTACCAACAAAAACGGTACATTGCGTGTACCGTGATGCTTCGATGCTGTCTGAGGCTGCGCACGCTCAAACTTGCAATGCCGGAAGAAGCGAACAAACCATCCTGGGCAAAGCATGTGAGCTATAGTCTAAACTCCTAGTATCCCCCTGAATGACGCGCATAATACTCCTTTGTATAATCCCCTCTATATGTATGTATCCCCTTCAAGGAGTTTAGACTACAGCTCAAGCGGTGCTAAGCAATAGCCGTACTCATCCTGAGACAGCGGTGGCACGTCTGGCAGCAGTGGAGCGAGCCCTCGCAGTCATGGAACGTGGTTTCTTCTGAATTCTGCAACAGATACTTCCAAGTAGGGCACCTGAGCAAGGGTACAGAAGCAACGCAAACATATCCTCCTTGCAGTTCTGCATGCGCTGAAGTACCCGCGTGCCAAACCCAAGAACCTCTCCACTCCTGCAACCCGAAGGTTCATTTTGATCATCCTTCTTTTGAGTCGGATATCCCGAAACTGGTATACCCTTGTCGCGGAACTGCAGCGAAGCGGCTGTCCATCCACATCTCAACGTCGCCTCAGAGAAACACGACGAAGCCATGAATGAACTGTAGGATTTTGTGGTATAACTGCACAACAATGCTGAATGTGCCGAAATCAAGCTTACCGACAGCAGACCTCGCCACTGTGCAGCTGATGCTTCGGTTTGAGGACACCTCCACTGTCAACTAGGCTAGAAGAGAAAGCTAAACCAATCCGATAAATGAAGATTCCGGTACCCATGAGTCTTCTCCCTCCTGTGCCAGATTGACAACGAAACCTGCAGGATCCTGATTATGCGAAACCTCACATTATGTCTTCGCAACCTCTACACATGTGTCTCGCTTCCCCCTCCGCACTGGAAACGACTTTTTAACTCATTGGTGGAGATTCATCTCCATCTCTGTTTCTAGGACACCTGGGCTCCATCGGCATCCTGTATGTCACAGACAGACTAAGCTACAAACCACCTTGCTTGGAAGGCCCCTAGTGAGATGTTGATGGTGGACCCCCGAAAGACTGCAGGCATTTTCAAGGCTCCACCCTTCCCCAAATCCAAAATGGAATCTCATATGAGGGTTTCCCAAAATTAGGGGTACTATTTTAGGGGTCCCCATAATGAGGACTAAAGTATTTGGGGGTCTATGTTGGGGTCCCCTTATTTTGGGAAACTATCATATAGCCATCTGCATGGTCCTGAAGGGAAAAGAGGCTCCCACGATGACGCTTTGATGAAATGGCGGTCTCTCATATTTAGTCTTGCGAGGCCCCATAAGAAGGATTGAGCTATCTTGGAGCATATGAGACGGTATCCCTGTTCGCAAAAACACCCACCTTGTCCCTGAACCCTAAACCCAAAAGTTAGGATTCACCACAAGGCCGACAAATTAAAAATGTGGGAAAGTCTTGGGGTCTCATAAAACCTGTTTAGGCCTAATTTTAATGTGCAGCAGTAACAAGCTCTAAGTTCTAAGCATACCTAGCCTTCTGAGCAACACAAATGGACACCCCTAGCTGCGCTTGGATACTTGCTTTGTGCAAAAAAAGTAGTGAACAGAGTGTGCAAAATGACCAGAAAATGCAACTCGCCAGCGAACTCTGTTTTGACAAGCTGCCGCCCATGCCTGCCACGTCTGCGATCATGAATCTCGACTGGCGACGAAGAGCTTGGGCGGGTTTGAGTTTCGAGGGGCTCCAGTTTGAAATTGGCTTCCTTTAATTGGAATGCCTTCTGTCGATTGAATGCGACTCGTTCCCAGTGGCGCTTCTCAAAATGGGGTCGTGCATGACTTGAAGTCTCGAAGTCCAGTGTCCTAGTTTCCAGCATCCGCGAGCACGGAGCCAGTTCTGGAAGCTCCGAGCGTATCACAGCACTTCCAAAATCATTTCCCTGCAGAGATCTAGCTCGAGAACCTAGCTGAGGTGTCATGGCTTACGGATTTACGGCCCAATATCTATAATAACCATATAACCCCTATATAACCCTATATAGTAAATAGTAGTTTCCATTTTCTTTTCCATTATCCCAATATAACCCCTTGGTTTATGGCTTTATGGCTCAATATTCGCAGAGTTCAGGGCCAGTGTCGTAGTGTGAAGCAGCAGCTAGGAGCTGCCCTAATCTGTCGGGCATCCGCCTGCCCTAAGCCCTAAACCCCATATAACCCATTACCTAGACCCTCCTCCTACCCGTCATCTACTGCATTCCTGTAAGTGGCCATGACCACCCAATCCTCTAAAAATGCATGATAATCCATGCAAACTTCTGAACCACGCAGAAATGCATGTTGGATGAAAAGAACTTGTGCGAAAAGAAACCAAATACTTTCAGAGCACAACGCAGGTGAGGCATATGGTGGTCTATATAGGTTGGTCTTCCCATTGGGAACCCTCAGCCCTGTTTTTCCCCTATTTTAACATGTATATATATATATGTATACGTAGGGCATCTGCTGCATACATAACTTGATATGACCCCTATCTCACTCTCAAATAAACCGCTCTCCCTAACATTAAACCCCCCCACCCACCCCCCCCCCCAATACTAAATACTCCTCATTGTGGTACATTATCGTATATTGGGCAGATTTAGTATTAGGGGGCGGGGGAGGTTCATATTAGGGGGAGAGGATTATGCCTGAGGATGACCCCCCACTCGTTGAGCCCGCTTAGCGCGCCGTGGGCAACAGCCGTCCGGTGCCAACCGCCTTACCAAAAGGCTTCATGATCATGTGGTTTAGGGTGTAGGGATTAGGGTCTATACTCCCTAAAGGGAGTTATATGGAGGGTTATATAGGGGACTGCTACAGGGGATATTAAGGGGGATACTAGGAATTTAGACTATGGCTCATGTAGCTAGATAGGATCTATGATTTAGGGCTTAGGGTTTTGCAATCCTTGGGTCCTAAGTCCATACCGTATATACCTGCAGAAAACCCTAGGGTTGCTTGTCAAAAAGCATCTGGGGAACTAAGAATCACTACATTACATGAGGATATCAAGGAAAAGGAGATTATGAGGGGCTACCTGAAAGGGTATATATGTATATATACAAAGAGAGAGAGAGAGAGAGAGATATACATATATATATATATAGGCATGTTTTTTCAGAAGTTGCCGTTTTGGCTGGGCCCACTCACGCAGGCAAGCTTCATGAATACAAGGGTTTAGTGCTAAAGGCGAAGCACAAAGGGCACAGTTTCGACCAGAAATTAACAGGGTTTTGCACCATCAAGGGTTATAGTCCCCCTTAAGTAGATAGAATATGGGGTATATGGGGATCTTATTATAATATACACAAAGCCATATTCCATCTACTAAGGGGGACTATAGGTCCTGGGGGTCCCTATAGGTCAAGGATTCTCATACAAATATGTCATGGAAGCAGGGTAGGGAACCCAGTGCTGAGCCCCCAACGTGCTAACTCTACATACTCTACCGACTGCCCACTTTAATGAGGTCGGTCTTCGGGACCGAATACCCTAAACCCCAAAAGTATGTAAAATAATATCCCTAAACCCCTAATAATGGCAATAAAGGCCATAATTTTATATACTTTTGGGGTCCAGGTACCCTAAACCCCAAACCTGAAACTACCGTATTTGAATCCTTGGACCATTGGGGTTGCGGTACCTTGCTTCATGGCTCGGATTTGTATACGAGAAGCTGATGCATCGCCTACAGCAGCTAGGGTACAAGTCTCCAGGCGCGCATTTTGCAAAGTTGGGCCTCCTTAAAAGTGTGTATATATATATACGTAGATAGATAGGTCGATACATAGAGAGAGACAGAGGGAGACCCCATGCCATAAGATCAAGTTTGTAAGGGGCGCCGCCTCAAACTTCTCTCATAGCATGCAGAGACTTCAGGAATACAACTAGCACAAAATAGGTACTATTTGCAGACTTCAGATCCCGACGTAGGTATATCTTGTAGGCTTAGATCCCATAGGTTTGCTGAACCAGGCCTCAACCACAGACCCTGAGTCTTAATGCACCTAAACTCTAGACCCTAGACCCTACACCATATACCTCATAATGTAGACCCATGATTAATAGCCCCTGCTATTACGGGCCTTACTATTAGGATCCCTATTCTAATCCCGTTTAAGGGGAGGG